TATGTATCTTTCCGGGCGTATAAAACCCATTGCAATTAAAACCATATCACATACATACGTCTGCATGGAAATTGAAATTATTACATTATTATGTGTCTAACGATATGTAAATTACGCCATGGAAAATAATTTAATTTCTTCTCACCTTCTCTGAATTAGGAACTTGCTGCATATTCCATTGACCGGCATTATTCTTTTCCCAATTGACGTTAACTGTTTCGATGCCGGTTACCCTGCCCGCTTCATCTCGTAAAAATGCCTGTAATAATTACAAAAATAATTAAAAACAACAACAACAACAACAACAACAACAACAAATTTTTAATTCGTTATACGTTAAGACAAAAAAAGAAAAGAAAATTTTTAAAAGAATCTCGATAAGTTTATTATATCCGATATATCGACATCATCACTAGACATTTATATCAAGGATTAATACAGCGAGATAACAACGACAACATTCTTAGGAAAAACATTGGGAGTGAAAGTTGTGTATCAATTTGTTTATAACAGGCCAGTAAATACCGTACCTTACTAAGTGTACTGAATTTGCGTGGATCGGTGCCAAATTTATGAATAACTTCTTCATGCCCATAATCCGTTTTAAATATTTTGGGAAACTGTGGCCAAGGATTATCAACCGCTCTGGTTTTTGGCGGCTCTGGTAAGATTTCAAAAGTGACAATCGACTTAGCTTTCTATTCAAAACGAAAGACAATAATTTAATGTAGAGGCCACGCGTGGCAAGCAAGCAATTAACATTATATTTCTTAATGTATGACGTGTCGTACTTGTCGTAGGGATGTCGCGATACAATCACAGCCGGTATCTCCACCACCAATGATTATAACATTTTTCCCTTCGGCCATTAGCTCCGTCTTCAACGGCGTCTTTCCCATCTGGTGCTTTTGCCAGTGCTCTAGAAACGGAACTGCAAAATAAATCCCCTGACATTCACGCCCGGGAATTTCAATATCTCGCGGCGTCGTAGCTCCCGTGCATAATAAAACAGCATCGTACTCTCTTTTCAATTCCTAATAGAATGTAAGATAACGATGGTGATATATATTTATCTTATTTAGGTGCATTGGGGTCGGCCAGTGCTGTGCAATAATAATTTACCAGTGCCGAAGCTGTCTTGCCAACGTCAACGCCCGTTTTAAAAACGATGCCTTCATCCGCCAATAATTGAACTCGCCTCTGAACAATTTCCTTCGACAGTTTCATCGTAGGAATGCCATACTGCAAGAGTCCACCGACGCGATCATTCCTCTCGTATACCGTGACTAAATGTCCGGCTTTGTTAAGTTGATGAGCAGCAGCGAGTCCCGATGGTCCAGACCCAATCACCGCAACCTTTTTGCCCGACCTCGTCTCTGGTGGATGTGGCACGATCCAGCCCTGCTCGAACGCGTGATCGATTATCGCGCATTCGATATTTTTAATAGTGACAGCGGGTTCGGATATTCCCAGTACACAAGCACCCTCGCACGGTGCTGGGCACACTCGGCCCGTAAATTCTGAAATCATAATAATTTTTCCAATACATTTTAATGCCGAAATTTCTTACATAATCATAGCAAATACATCTTCCCCTTGTATATGGAAGATCTCTATTTTTAAAATAAGAACAACATTAATACAAATGCTCATATAAAATTTGACTTTACATTTTTATTTTTAATGTAAACTTAAGCATTTATTAAGAACTTTATTAAGAATATGCGCTAGTAAGATTAAAATTTTAGAATATTAATGACTAAATGCGATGAATCTCGAATTGAATTGCCTTTTGCTAGATTTGCAAATAAAAATTCCATTAATGCGGTAAATTATGTAATAAATTCTAATTTGGTATTTTATTTTGTTTTATATTTTTGCTAACGATAGGTATTATTAACCTGGGAAATTATTAGTCTGTAGCAACTGATTAAGAGCCTCCTTCCAATTATCCTGAAATACAAGATCATTCCATTTAGGAATAATATTGCCAAGGGGACAACCGTGACTGCTTTGACAAAATGGAACTCCACATTCCATGCACCTCGCAGCTTGAACTTTAAGCCCTTTTCTCACACCTTCAAAGTTGTATA